TAATACATAAAAAATTAAACTAGCAATTTTTCTTTACAAAGTATTAAGCGGTACAGGAAGAAAACAAATAATATAAATTATAAGAAGTAGAATCGTTACATTTCCTTCAATTTAAATTAAGTTATTCAGATATCGTGAGATGCGGTCGGGTGTGATGTAGGTTTCAGAAAAACATTTCCTTTATCGTGCCAACGTTTCGATCTTTATTGAGATCATCTTCAGGGCTAAAACTGTTTGTCTTCTGTGTAATTTTGCCATCCTTGCGAGTCGTGTTGAGAGTGTCCTAATCTAAATTAAATTAGTTTTCAAAATACTTTGTTTAAAATATTTTTGCACATTTTCTAGAAAGTAATGAAATTGTCGTTAAACAACACTAGAGAACAGATGCAAACTTTTGTAAAATTATAAAAATATTTTAATACTCAAAGCATTAATAGGATAACAAAGAAAACTACTAATTTTTTTATTACCAAAATATCTAAATATTAAATTTACCTTATGTTGCAAAGTGAAACATTGCAAAAATATGAAAAATGTTCTCTTAATTTTTTGTTGTCTTTCAGGTTTCTATTAATAAATTAACCCCTGGAACTGATTGATGGTGAAAAGCCTACCAGGAAATTAGAAAATCTTGCGTCGGAAATCGTGTTTCAGAAGTTTCGTTAAGTCCCTCTATCTTTCATCTCGACGGGCTTAACACCGCCCCAGAAATCTGATCCTAGTTAAGGTCTAGTTGATTTTTTTCTTTTTTTTTTACTTATCGCGGCTAGTTAGTTGTACTTCTTTCTTTTAAACTTGGTTAGGTTTAATCTTGGAAAGTGGGAAATTGAAAGTGTAGCCAACCCAAAAATAATCGAGATTAAGTCGTCGTGACAAAAATTAGACATTATACCATTTGAAGAATACGCTAGTGATTAGAAAAAATTAATAATTAATTAACAAAATTATTTTTCTGTGCTTAATTTTTATTGTCAATCTCAGCATAATCCAAAAAGGAATTTATCGATTATACTGTTATTATATTATCATTTGTAATTGCCTTCCCATCGTTTAGAAATGCCAATCAACATGGAAGATGAAAAATAAACATTGAATATATAAAATGGTGCCAATAAAAGTGTAATTTTGTCGAAATCTCAGCTTAGACAGATTTAAATTAACCATAAATAATTAAGGCAATGATGCAGGGAAATTTCATTGTGAATTAATATCAATTATTACATCGTTTAGTACCAGAAAATTTCCTGATTTTGATTACATTTGGACAACTCGTTTAGTATTTCCGTCTTGCTAAAATTTATGGTGTGTTTAACAAAAAGGTTAATTTTGAAAAGTTTCTTCCCGTTAGAAATCCTGGGGATAATGTTTTTTGCATACAAAAAAAATTTGACGCTTATATTTTTTGGATGTCAATTCGACATTGATAGTTGGTCTATTTTCACAAATATTATTGTTATTTCCCTTTTCTCAATTAAACGTTTTCATCAAAATTCAAACTAATTGGTCTATTATATTGATATCAATTTGAACGCATTTAATAATCCTTCCTATATGAAATCTGTGAAAAAAAAACTTTGACAGATGGCCAAATTTGAAAGGTTTTTCTTTTAATTCTGAGGATAATTTTCTGAAATGCAAAATGACAGCTACGTTTCTAAGGAAAATCTTTCTTCTTATTCTTCTTTTATGTATAATCAGTAGTGATAGTCAGACTATCTTCCTAAATCTTTCCAATTATTTTAAGCAATCAAATTGCTCTCTGCTTTTTTCGCCGTTTGGGCGAAAGGCAAACAACGCGTTTGTCAATTTCTCTGACGTCAATTTTTACGCATTTCGCGCTGATAATGGTTGAATACAAATAAACATTTAATTATAAGTAGGGTGAGAAAAAAAACCGGCGATACGTTGTAAAAAAGAACTTATGTAAGGGCAAAATATCAACAAAACATCTTTATCTATCTGGCCGCTATCAAACGGAATAGGAATATCGCTTCTCGTCTAGCCTAATAAAAATTTTACTGTTTAGTTTTTTACCCCTAAGGAGTAATCCTAAAAAAAACGATAACTTATTGGTTTTTTTTTTTGCAATGGAATGGTCCCAGCATCTAAAAGATATTGTGTACAATATAATTTAGACATATGTACTTAAACTCTGAAAATTTAAAAACCGTCTATACTTTAATCTATAATAATAAAACGCCTATATATTAAATTATTATTTATTGTCTTCTTCAAAAGGTACATAAATGCAACCTAAATATTTATATAAGGTAGACTCGGCCTTCGTCCAACCATGGTCGCCATATTGCTATAATACACGTACGTTGAAGTGAAAGAGGGGACAGCTACGGTCAATTGTTTACGAATCTGGGTTCAAATTACGGCATGACTTTTTAATCACAATAGTATGAAATAAGTATTGCAATGTAGTTCACTGTAGTGCACCCAACACCCGGATAGTGGACCATTCGGTACGACTTAAAGAGACACAGTTTCTAGATTTGTTGAAATTTGTTAATTTTTCCATAGTAAAACACTTTCTGAAAATTCAAACTTCAATTAAGTTTTCCGTTTTTCTTCTTGGTTTCCATATGTAGAAAGCGTTATTATATTAATTATGCAGCATTTGTTCCAAAATTATTGCTATGTTAAACTATTTATTACACATAAAACGTGGTGAATTATGCAATCTTCATATTATTATTTATATTATTATCTTTATATATTATTCATACGCCATTATACATAGTAGTCTATTAACCAAATTACTACATTCAATTAATTAATCTTTTAAGGTAAGGTTTTGGTTGAAATGAAAAAGCTAGTGACACGAGCGGGATTCGAACTCAATATGCCGCTGTTCTAACCATTTGAACTGTCGTGATTTCGATCCACTCGGACACCAACTCCTCATCTCAACCTACAACCTTTCCTATTTTCCCTCCTTTTTGCCAATTTTCAAATGTAGTGTAATCAGGATTCGATTCTGCGCGACATCGGGGATCTGTTAGTGAAGTTATACTTCGTTTTTTGTTTATTAAATGCATTATAGTTAGTGGTTTATTGACCAAATTGCTTCTTTCAATTAATTAATTCTTTAATGTAAGGGTTTGGTTGAAATGTAACGATATGTTAACTAGTGAAAAATGGCAAAAAGGAGAGAAAATGTGAAAGGTTGTAAGGTCGAGATGGGGAGTTTGTGTCCTAGTAGATCGAAGTCACGATAGCTAAAGTGGTAGAGCAGCGGCGTATTAGCCGAAGGTCGTGGGATCGAATCCCAATCGGGTCACTAGCTTTTTCATTTCAACCAAAACCTTACATTGAAAGATTAATTATTTATATGGCTGACCTGCCGATATATTAATACTGCCGTTACTACCGGATAACACAGAAATTTTATCTCCTTGCTCAATATTGCTCAAGTACCCCCCAATGTCCTGAAACTGTTGAGCTCATCGAAGAAAATGAAATTGAAGCTAGAATAAATGCACCTTATGCAAAAGTACTTAAATACACAGCCTTGCCATCGTATAAACTTAAAGAGCAAGCAACAACATCTATACAAGTGAAATACCGAATTTAGAAAGATGTGGAATCCCCGTCAAAACTCAACTAACCCTATTACTGCGATCATTCCGTATGGAGTGGAACTTTGAGCCATCACGACATCCAATATTTAGCATATCCAATCCCTACAATCAAAAGTCCTCAGATAAATTGTCAAGGCTCCCTACTACGTCAATATCCACACGACCTCAGCTTTCCCTTCGTTAAAGAATTGTTCCCGGAGGGTTGGCGCTTCCTCATGTTTCAATCCTAACCTACTGCCCAAACCCTCTCCACTAATTTCTATCTTAAGAAGCCTGAAAAACAAACCGACATTCAGTTCCAGCGTTAGCTGATTTTTTATAGCAGGTGTACTACTAGAGTTCAGTGCTAGTGTTAATTAATTAATCTTTATGTGAGGTATTGATTGAAATGAAAAAGTCATTGTCAAGAGCGGGATTCGAACCCACCACCTTCGGCTAGTGACACTAACTTTTTCATTTCAACCAATACCTTACATAAAGATTAATTAATTGAAAGAAGGTATTTGGTCAATCGGATCACTAAATATAATGTGTTAATGTTGTGTCTATTTATATATAACGTAAACAACAATGTTCACGTACGGGATACAAATAAATATTTCCAAAAAAATATGTTTCGCAAGGTTGCAAATCCTGGTAAAAGATAATCTTCTACAGCTTGACGAAGAAACTGAGTGTTTTCTCTCTAATTAACCACATCCCAGATCGATTTGTGATATATAATTTTTTTTAACGAGGGTTTGCAACAGCAGAGGTCATATACCATCAGGGTGCCGGTGTTTTTGAAAAAAAAAACATTTGTAAGTATGTCGGGTTCGTATGCAGGGCCGTTGGATTCGAACCCGGGACCTTTGCCTTACAGTGATTAGCGCCGTGTCAAAGACTAAACCGTTGCTGCCACCAACGCCCCCTGATATATAATTACACCTAATTTTTACAAAAACACTTAGAATACCCCAATGGTGATCGATACTGTTATGGCGTAGACAGAAGGATCCCGGGTTCGAATCTCAGCGAACCTGAAATAGAACCTAAACTTCTTTCAACACTTCAGGATTAAAACGAGCTTTGAGGTTGCGCACCCTAGTTATAAATATTCATATTAATACAATATATGTGTTGTGATAACATGAACAAAAAAAAATGTCAAAGCTTATCAGAAAATCTGTTTGATTTTTATTTAATTTGAGATTTTGTGCCTTCTTAACAACCTTGTTAAAAAAATTTAGTTGAAAATTAGTACAAATATTCCGAAAAATAAGTCACAAAAAGGCTCAAGGAATTAATAAAAGAGGATCAATTTGTCTATTTTTTCTCATCGGTTAAATATTGTGAATATTTATATTTAAGTGGTCACATCAAAAATGTGAATAAAGGGAAAAATGTGAATTACGTATTTTCATGTTCCAGGATCTGACAGGTGGAAGAGGCGGTTCTGTACAAGAAAAGAGATCCTCGGCCACCATCACGGATCGGAGCCAATTGAAATACGCGAGGAGGCTCGTTGTCAAATTGGGCAGCGCTGTCATCACCAGAGAAGACGAACACGGACTCGCACTCGGCCGTTTGGCCTCCATCGTCGAACAGGTACCTCCAAAAAATTTCATTTTTACAATTATTTTATCAAACTTACTCCTCGGAAACGTTGATCAAATAAAATCAATTTGGCTTAAGCAGAAGCAAAACACTTTAAACCTAAAATACAACCATTCAATTAATTAATGTTATTAGTTGAGATAAAAAGTCAGTGTCACGAGCGAGATTCGAACCCACTACCTTCGGCTAGATACGACGCTGCTCTACAACTTAAGCTATCGTGACTTCGATCCTCATAGACACTAACTTCCCATCTCAACCCCACCTTTGAATTTTCCCTCCTTTTTGCCATTTTTCAAAAATCAAGTCGTAGAGTTGCGGCGCATCTAGCCGATGGTTTTGGGTTTGAATCCCGCTCGTGACACTGACTTTTTTATATCAACTAAAAACCTTTTAATTTAAAGATATTAATTGGTCAAGCGGACCACGAAAACTAGTGAACTAAAATACAACTATTTTATCATTAAAATTTCAATAATTAAAAGTAGTGCTGAACAATTGGACAACATATGAATGCTAGAACAAAAGCTGCAACAAAATAACACAAAAAAGTTAAGTTTTGTAAGATCAATTTGTAGACAAACAATAAGCTAATTAAACTAATTTATTATTTATAATTTAATTATATAGGATTTAACAATTTTATAACAAATCCATTTTCCTAATTTTAAATTATTCCTCAAACTGTACATTCAAATAGCTTCAAATTGGGTTAAGCAGAGACAAAAATATTTGTTTTACATCTTAAACGGGTTTTTTTACTGTAATATGTACGTATTAATTAAAATAGCATGTTTGGTTAAAATAATCTAACCATTAGAAATACAATGAAAAACAGTTTTAAAACTGAAGAATAATGCAGAATTACCATAAACCACCTACTTCCTCTTGAGTTTTGTATGAATAATTTGGAGAAAGAAAATATTTTCTTTTTCCTTGATACTTGTGTATGTGAGAAAACTAAATATTTAACTTTACCCTTGATATTTTCTAAAATAAACCTCCCAACCTCCGGACCTGACCGCCGAGATCTGGCCCGTGACGCTAAAAATGCAATTAAAAGTATATCACTGGTTCGGATCGACAGAGATGCTCCTGCAAATCAAGAGTAGGGGATGTGGGTCCCACGGAAAACCTATAAAAAAAAGAAACATGATTATTCACAAAACCACTTTTATTCCAAAGCCCGCGGATGTGTCCGGCACATAGAGAAAGACTGCTTAATTTGTCGCCTGTAATTGAAGGCTGTCATTCCTTGACTCCATATAGAGAGCGTGAATGAATGTTACAAGATATGAGAATTTGGTTGAGCACGTCTCCAATTATTTGCTGTTTCCCTGTGTTGTGTTTTATTGCATATTGGCAGATATTTCGTGTTGTGTTTATTATTTGTTTATACAGTAGGAGGCAAAAAAGTGGCCACCCTTAATATTTTTAACTATCTCTTAGATAACCCTCTATTCATTATCTTACAATAATATTTGGTCCGACTTAATGAATAGAGGTAAACACAGCACAGATACAATTTCGCAATTATGTTTACATGTGTGGTGATTAGTGACCGTTAATCGATGATTATTCAGAAATCATGAGACGCGGTCTGGGGTGATGTAGGTTTCAGAAAAACATTTTCTTTATCGTGCCAACGTTTCGATCTTTATTGAGATCATCTTCAGGGCCTGGGATTTACAAACATTGTTTAAATTTAATCTAACTTTGATTGAGTATGTATTTATAACGTGATAAACTTTTCCTACCTCTCTTCTAAAAACTAACTGCTATTACGTGCGCTCAATTCGAAATGACCACAGTAAATGTATCACCCCCGTTGTGCCACGGTGTATAAAATATCTGATAATTAGAAGGCAAAAGTTTGCTCTTTCGCTTTACTTTCACGCAAACACCTTGATCAATTTGCTTTGAATAGTTAATTTCATTTGCCTTTTAACAAAAACATTTTATTTTAGTACTTTTTTTTGTGAAATCTTAATCTAAACATCAACCATAATTATTCAGAAATCATGAGATGCGGTGTAGGTTTCAGAAAAACATTTTCTTTATCCTGCCAACGTTTCGATCTTTATTGAGATCATCTTCAGAGCCTGTGATTTACAAACATAGTTTAAATTTAACAAATACATGTAGGATGTGGAAAAATGTGAATTTATACAATGCAAAATATATTTTTTATACTCAATCAAAGTTAGATTAAATTTAAACAATGTTTGTAAATCCCAGGTGCTGAAGATGATCTCAATAAAGATCGAAACATTGGCACGATAAAGAAAATGTTTTTCTGAAACCTACATCACACCAGATCGCATCTCACGATTTCTGAATAATTATCAACCAACGGTCACTACTCACCACACATCAACCATAATAATTAAAATTTAATATTTTTTATTTAGTTTATTTCAGAAGAAGTAAGTTATTATGTTATATTAATTAAGTAAAAATCACCGATCTTAAAACGTTCGTTAGGTGCGCAAGTCGTGGTTCAAACCGCACACTTGCACGTTGACTTCGTTTCATGTTAAGTCCCGGAGAGACGTTTGCACTTGACGAGTGGTTGTGTTAACTGTCAGTACGTGTGCTGAAATTTAATTAAATGTAACGATTTTATTTCATTGAGATGCTCAAGATGTTTGAAATAAATCGTCCGTACGAGGAAGGATTATTTATCATCAACGACTTTGTTCGGAAAATGGTTCTAAGGTGAAAACTGGACTAAACTCAAAATACCAACAATACAACGAAGCATTATAACGTTTCTAATGATATAAGTTGTTAACCAGGTCATTTCGATTCATTCCGTTTCTGGATGGTTATAATCTTGAACATGTTGTTTTTTTTGTATAAAAAGTAAAAACTAGATTAAGCGGGTTATTCCCTTGACCCCATTTAATTTGGAAATGGGCCCCCTTTGGTTATCATTATAATCGAAACTTCTTGACCAAATTTAATAAAATTTTGTTTACCTTTTGTTTAGAGATTACCGATGGCTTCTTATTAAAGAAATTATGTTTTTAATTTGTATTGTCTATTTGTATAAATCTTGGATAATAATATCAAAAATAAAACTAGTAAATTTAACATGCAACTTTTAAAAGTGTACGTTTTTGCAGAAAAATAGCTTTTTCAAAAAGCGCGAAAAATTAAAAAGCCTACTTTATTTGTATTTGTATCTTGAATCGACTTGTAGCTGGCCGACCAAATCCTTTATTGCAAAATCCATTTTTTCTCTGGCGTAATAAAAATTCAAGCCCGCTTTCTCCAAAGGTCAAATTTTAAGTTTTTGTTGGTCGTCTGTGACTCCCGAAGTCTTCTAAATGCAGTAATTATAAAGAAGACAAAATGAAATTCACGCACCAATTTTTCTTTAGGAGAGACCATTATTGAGTAATAATTAATTTTACTAATTCCCGGCCGATTCGCATACAGAATCTAAACATACTTTGAGTTGTGCAAACCGGAGAGGACTAACCCGGCTCAGAATCGGCCATATGAGATTGACACAAATTTTGGGCCAAAGTCACGCCATTTATGCCAACCTCCCACCCCCATCCGATCGCATGCAGAGAAAAATTAATAGGTCTCACTTAATTGTAGTGTCATTACTTGGTTCCAAATGGAACCGATATGAGAATCGTGCGTAATAAAGCAGTGAATCTTTTTGTTTTTTATAGTAAAATCTTATTATTGTTTATATAAAAACTTTAGCGGGTAAACCCGGTTTTGAGATTGTATTTATAATCGTGAGAGATTGAATTTTTTAGCATGAATGTGTTTGTCATACAAGAAGTTCGATAGCAGGATTTCATGTACCCCAGAGTAGGGTGATGGAGGAATATCGAGTGCTCCACCACCTAAATTGAGAGAATGGGTTGGCCCCACAGGATTTGCTCAAAAGGACGGTGCTTACCACTGGTCAGTGCCCTGTTAGACGTTGGATTTTGAATGCGACACTTGTGGTTTGGAAAAATGGAGATGAGTGGGCCAGACCTTCGTTGTTTTTTTATGAGCGAACTTTTAATTTGGGATGCCCGTTTCGGGCTTAAATACCTCCTTTGTCGATTTTAAGCAGGTATTAAACGTTGTTTTAAAATCCGAAAACCTGGGTTGTTTAAAAACCATTTGTAAGTATATCGGGTTCCAATGCAGGGCCGCTGGATTCGAACTAGGGACCTTTACCTTACAGTGATGTCCGCCGTGTCAACGCCTAAAGCCAGAAACTCTCTTACCCGATGCTACGCCATGCGACGCTTCCAGACGCAAATCCAAACTCCGATTTTCCATAAAGTAGTATTACCCCCGTGCACATCTGCCCGATGCTATGCCACGCTAACCTACCCGACGCTCTGCGATCCCCACTGACCACCAGATTTTCGTTGGGTCGCATCGAGTACAGTCGAAGACAAAAGAACCGGACACTCATATTTTTATTCAAACTACATGTATTATTGCATTTATATTAATTACAACATATTTATTTTAATATAAACCAAATTAACTGTGATTAAAAATTAATTAGTTTTTATTTAAAAAATTAATTTTAATGGTTTGGTAGAAAATTAATCAAAACACCGGAATATGATTTTTTGATGTAATAAATTTAACTAACAATTTATTGCTTTCGCTTCGGCGGTACATATACTAAAATTGGAACAACTTATTACACGGTTTTGCTCATAAAATTTAATTAAAATTTATTTCATAGTTTTGCTCGTAAAATTACACAATTTTGTAATGTCGGGTAGCATCAGAACAGGACACTCATATTTTTTGTAGTTTATTTCAAACTAAGTACATGTAATTTTGTCGTTATATTAATTACAAAATGTTATTTTAATGTAACCCAAATTAAACGAGATCCAAAATGCATAAGTTTTTATAAACATTGTTTAATATGATGGTTAGGAGAAACTTTATTTAAAACAATTAAGTTTAAAAAAACAATTTATTAGATGGTTGTGCTCATAAAATTTAACTAACAATTTATTACAAAAGGTTTTGCTCAAAATGGTGCGTTAAGAACAAAAGATGCGTTGCGATTGTGATAGTGATTATTGGGATATACGCTGTAGGCTGTACGCGACGTGTGCTTGCGTCGGATGGATGTGCACACCTCAGCAAAATGTGGCAAGGCTTCGGGTAGTATCGGGTAACGTCGCATGGCGTAGCATCGGGTAAGTGTGTTCCCGGCTTAAACCGTTGCGGCCACCGCCGGGTTACTTTTTATCGCCCCAATAACTGATTCGGAAGAAAAGCCATTCGTGTTGAATGAACAACTCTCCGATATTTCAGTCTCTCTGTCACCAATCTACGACATATACTATTCTAGAGCGTAAATAAATTAGCTAAATCAGTTATGTGTGAGTTAGAGCAACCTCCTAAACGACGTACTTGCAGTTATGAAGAAATTATGTAGAATGCTTCCAATCATCAGGTTTTGTTGAAACCAAAACATCCGGAATTGTCGTAGTTAAAAAGAAATACAATTTTGATCGATTTATTTTTAATTTTTTCAGTAATAAAACCTTTAATTAAGCAAAAAATCTATGATTTTCTTGTTATATTGTGTCATAGTTAATAATAATGTTACATCATTACGTGTGTTGTTCCCAAGGTATCTACGTAAATTTTAATGAACCAATATATAATACTAATGTAAACTCGTACATAATTGAAATATAATTAGAGTTAGAAATGGGTAATATTAAATTTTATACTTCAATTTTGGAGATAGAATAATAAAGTGAAACATGTTAAAACACAATTCAAACAATAATTGAAATTGCCAAAACACTCGATTTGTTGAAACAAGACCAGTTATTAAAAATGTTTTTAATAACGCATAGGGCAGGGGTGCTCAAACTTGAACTGCTGGCGATCTACCTCAATATTTTTAGACTGCTTACGATCGACTCTGAGAGGCTGCAAGTGTGTGTGATGCAGGGTTGTCGTACATACACGATACACCCTACCTACCTAGGTAGGGTGTACCGTAGCATATATAGATATTAGCTTTCTGCACAATATAGGTACATTATTTTAGTCAAGGTTTGGGTTAGGTTTAGTTAGGTTCTTCTCTACAATATCAATGAAAAAACTCGTAGTTATTCAAAATTGCGAGTTTATTGGTTTTACAAAACAAAAGAGTTACATATGGTGTTAAACTTAACTAAGGAGTGGCTTTGGATGTTGAAGCGTGGCACTGCATGTCCTCAGCATACTTTTCATAAGATGGTACGTAACCACTGAGTGCTAATCGCAAGCATGATGACATATGATCGTCAGTTAGTCGATTGCGATATTTTGACTTAATTATCTTCATTTCAGAAAATGCAGACTCGCACAAGTAAGTTGACCCAAAAAATGCCGTCAGTTGAAGAGCGATTTGCCTTACATTCGGATATTTGTCTTCAGATATAAAACACCAGAAATTTGTATCAGATGCTGTAGCTTTGAGATGTATATCTGATATAATCTGCACCAACTCATTTTCAACAGAACATGAGTTCATATTAAACTGACTTGCTATTTCAGTAGCTAATTCCTCAATGTTTTTACATGAAAAAGGATAACTCATAAATGATGCTATATTTTCCAATTTACTGCAATCATAAAAACGCATTTCGAATTGTCCCAAAATATTTGATAATTCAGCCTCATACGTATCATAATTCAACTGAGGAATCCTTGCTTTCAAAGATGGAAAATGTTTCAGATCCTTTCTTTTCAGTTGATCTATCATAAGTTGCAATTTACTTTTGAATGCGTTTACTGCGCTAATCATCTCAATAATAGTTTTTCCTTTACCTTGAAGCTCCAAGTTAACGGTGTTTAAGTGCATTGTGATGTCAGTCAAAAATGCCAAATCAGTCAGCCATTTTTCGTTTTTCAAAATCTGAGTGTCATTACCTCTTTCGTCTAGAAAAGCTGTTATTTCGGGCAATAATTCTTGAAACCTTTCTAGGAATTTTCCGCGACTCAACCACCTGACGTCCGTGTGAAGAACTAAATCAGTGTGTTCAGCTGACTCCCTATCTTCCAACTGCAACTGAAAGAGCCGCCGTTGCAAGCTACGTGCAAGGATGGAATTCACAATTTTTGTTGCAATGCCCATAATTTCCTCCGTGTTTAAAACTTTTGAACACAAAACTTGTTGATGTATAATGCAATGGAATGAAAAAAATGAAGGGAATTCTTCATTAGCTCGACACAATGCCACAAAACCGTTTTTGTTTCCAGTCATTGCTGGTGCTCCATCGGTTGTAATGCACACTAATTTATATATTGGTAGCTCGTAGTTTTTTACAAAATTGAAGAAAACGTCATATATATCTTCGCCACGGGTCTTCCCCTTCAGAGGAATGATTGTCAAAAATTCTTCCTTAGCCAACATGTCATTGAATACCATCCGAATAAAAATACACAGCTGGGCAGTGTCTGTCATATCGGTGGATTCGTCGAACTGTAAAGAAAAGTATGTACATTCCATGATATCATGTTTTAGTTTATCTGCGATGTCCTGACTCATGACTTCAATACGCCTTGTGACAGTCGGACGAGATAACTGAAGTTCTCTAATAGCAGACATGATTTCTGTTTTATTTTTAAAATCTCCAAATAAAGTCTCACCCGCTTCAATAAATGCTTCCTTCACCACCGATCCATCTTCGAATGGTTTCTTGTGTTTCGCCAATATATGAGATATTTTAAATGACGCGATCGTAGCAGCTTTTGATTGTTTGGCTGGTCTTGTGAACATGGATTGTTCTTTTTTCAAACAAGATATCAAATCACTTACTTTTCGTTTTCTTAATTCACTCTGTGGCGGAAAATCCTTTTCATAGTTTTTATGAACCGTTTTATGATGCCTCTCTAAGTTACCACGCTTAGGTATTGCAACTGACGCACGACAAATAACACAAATGCACTTATCCTTCACCATACAAAAGAAAAATTCTTCCTCCCAATCCTTATTAAAATGATACGTTTTAGATTTCACTGCACTCATTTTCCACTATTTAATAATAAACTTTGTATCGACGTAGTATCGCCATCAAGTTACAATTCAGAATGACTCCAATTCCTGCAGGCACAACATTTATATCGGCGTGAACGAAAGTCTCGAATGTTCCCGTCAAACGCGCCGCCCGAAACTAGACTGTACTGTCTCTCGTTGTTTCTAGACTAGACTGTACTGTCTACTAGTCTAGAAACAACGCGGCTTTTCTTTGACAAGTGCCGCGCGTTCCTTTGATAAAGCCACCTTTTGCCGCAAGCAGTGTTATTTTATTACGTAATACATTTTTGTAGTTTAGTTACCTACCTACTTATTAAAAATTTTTTTCTTCTCCAGATCTACTCAAAAAGCACTCGCGATCGACTGGTCGATCGCGATCGACCGTTTGAGCACCCCTGGCATACGGTTTTAATAAAAAAATCCTATAAGTCACCGGGGAAATGTGTACATATGAAATAGATTACTATACACTCAATATATATTTTGGTTTTATGTTTTTAAAGAATACATGAAATAAAACTAACTTTTTGTGTAGTAGTTGTTCAGGTAGAAAATTTGAGTTTGATAATAAATTGAATTTTTTTTTACAGGTGGCAGAATGCCATGTTAGTGGACGGGAATGCATCATGGTGACCAGTGGTGCGGTGGCATTCGGCAAGCAGAAACTCGCCCAAGAGCTTCTCATGTCGCTCAGTATGAGGGAAACCCTTTCACCAAAGGACCACACGAGGGTTGTAAGTAAAAAGCCATTTCTCAAACAAGAACAATGAAAGCGATGTAGATGTCGATGTATAGGTCGGGGTGTGATAATCTGCGTGTGATTTAAGACCTTTTTTATCCTCCATTTTCTTTCCCTCCACCGTTGAGTCCTATTTCATCAAGGAACTTGTTTAGTAGGCCCTGTTTCCGTGATTGAATCTCTTCTATAGTCACATTGTACATCTCAAAGCACTTCCTCCTGCGGGCAAGTGTAGCATCAGAATTTGTTAATAGGTGTGTTGGTGTCTCCTCTGCCTCTGCAGAATCTCTATATGCCGACTTGGATTATTCCCATCTTCTTTAAATGTCCATTCAGCTTGCTGTGTCCTGATCCTGTTAGGATTGGGAGTTTTTTCCTGCTTCATCTGACACATTCTGTACGTATATTATGCAGGGTGGATGTCCAAGATCCGAGGGGTTAAATGCCTGGGTAAACTCTTACCCCATCTCTAAAAGGTTCGGGACTTGGTCGGCTCACGTGTCCTGCAGAAATCTCTTGGTCCTGTTCACAAACCCCAAGATTTTGGACCATTTAATCTCAGGGAGTGATTTGGTGATGTCCTCTCCTTCAAATATTTCAAATCTAGACCTAGCATACCTAACACACTCTGCGAGGTAGTGCCTTGCTGTTTCTTCTTTTATTTCTCAAAGACGGCAAAAGTGATTTGGTAGAATACCCATTACGGAGAGGTGTCTTCTCAGTGGGCAATGGCCCGTCAAGATACATATCAGCCTCCTATTCCCATCCTTGAGATAGATAATAGCATTTCGATTCTGCTGGTTTGATCGCCTTAACAAACTCTTTCGATTGCCAGTGACCGGGGGGACACATTCTGTAACTTCTTTCCTTCCGAAATTTGTTAGGAGATTCTTGGATTGTTTGTGTCCAATGAGTGAATTCCATTGTTCCTTCATTTTCTTTTTGTCCTTCTGTCTTAGGTACTCATTGATAGTATGGGTTCCTATGCCACAGAAGGGCTCGGGTCCTATCAGCTGTATAGCAGCCCCTTTCCTTGCAAGGGTGTCCGCTTTCTCTTTGACTTCTACAGCCATGTGTCCCGGGACCCAGCAGAGGCTGTCTTTGTTCTTATGTTCAATTTGGTTTTGCAGTTCAACACCATATTTGAACTAATGATATTTGAGCTTAGTGCTTTGATGGGCAGTTCACCACCATCTTTGAACTAATTATATTTGAGCTTAGTGCTTTGATGGCTGCTTGGCTATCTGACATGATAGATATGTTCTTTTTGTACCCTTTAGTCAAGTTGAATTGAGTACATCTCTCGATTGCATGGACTTCAGCTTTGAAGATACTCGTGTGTTTTCCCTTGGGTTCTGGCTATTTGGTTCCAGGACCGAATACTCCTACCCTTGTACCTTTCTATGTTCTAGATACATCTGTGAATCAAGAGATGGTGCGTGAAAGTACGATAAATTTATTGGTATTTCTTTACGCCATCGAGGCATTTCACGTAAGAATACAATTTCACATAAACACGTGTTAAATAGCGTTCTAAAAGTTATTGATACGATAAATAACACAAATTACTAATTTACATATATTACAAAATCGGTATTTTAGATCGTTTTGGTCTTGAAGACATTTTTTGGCATCGCTTATCAGAGTGGGGCACCGACTCAAACCAACCGGTGGAAATGGCGAAAAACGACCAGAGAGGTTAAAAGGTCCAAAATGAACGAAGTACCCTTGGCGCAGATCTTAATAAAAACTTAAGCGATGTAAAAAGTATAGTTATTATTTGGAGGTCATGAGATGCGGTCTGGTGTGACGTAGGTTTTACAAAAACATTTTCTTTATCGTTTCGATCTTTATTGAGATCATCTTCAGGGTTCAAAGTATTTGTTTAAAAAAAAATGTTTTTCTAAAACCTACGTTACACCAGACCGCATCTCACGATCTCCAAATTATCATCAAGTAACAGTCACTAAACATCACACATAAAAATGTAGGTTGAGATACATTTTAAAACTGTAAAACGTGTGTAAAACTATTTAATTATCAAGGATGAAACAACCCACAAGAATAAATCTCAAAATAATAATATTTAATATTATACATAAAGATTAACAACCCACATGGGACCCGATTTTACTTCGTTTTAAACTTATGTAAAAAAGTTGTAAAAACCCTATCTAACATGGCCCTTCCGTTGGAGTATTTGCTTAAACCTTCCAACGTACACTCCTGTTCGACAACATTTCTGTGTTGTCAACAACCCAACAACGCTACATTTCTTCTTTTACACCTTGGAATTGCCCCACGCTAACTCTTAAAAATTAAAATATTTCGAACGGCAATTGCCAGGATTCACAGTCTTCTTAGCGAAATTAAGTCGGCCATAAACGTTCACTGGATTTTATTTCAAGTATTCATTGTAATTTAATTTATTGTTTATCTATTTGCTTCGTTGTCTGCTAATTTATATTACTATATAAACTTAGAAGGCACACCACAAAATAACTCTACATTGATTTTAAAGCGTTAAAGTGATTAGTTTCGATATACTCATGTCTTCATATTTATAAGCCCAAACTTTTACCTATTATGGACTTCAATTACACTACAAAACAAATGCGTTAATCAAATTTATTGTTTCCAAAGTAAATACTTCCATGAATTATAACAATTCATGTAATGTAACATTAATATTCATATATCAACACAAAATTGATATAAATTTTCTTTTCTTCTTATGAAAAATCACAGTTTTTTAACAACATATATAATTAACGAAGAGATATTTTTAGAAGTTATATGTTAATAAAATATTTATTTCAAAAATTACATAAAATGATAATAGCCAAAAAAATTGATTGTATACTGATATTTCTATTCCTCTTGCGTGTTTGTGTGTGTGATGTATAAAATTATTTGTGAGCTCACATCTCTTGATCATTAGCACAAGTTAAACTTACTGAGAGCAGGCTGTTTATTTTACAATATTTTGTTCTACATTATTATTTATTTTTTTCTCATAGTGATACAGCAAATAATTTGATCCTTTTTTTTATATAGGACACGGGCACTCTCCTGGAGCCGAGAGCAGCTGCAGCTGTTGGACAGTCTGGCCTCATGTCACTTTATGACGCTATGTTTGCTCAGTACGGCGTGAAAATTGCGCAGGTCAGCAAAACTCTCCTAATTTGAATTAATCTCTTATAGTTAAATTATTTTCAGACTACTAAATATTATAAACTGAGTCACAATTAATTAATTATATACGATTAGCATGCGCATTCTTACATTTGATTTGGTTGGTTCAACTTTGGTTTGTTTATATTCCCGCACAAACTTAAGAAATGCTGTTAGAACTAAAAAAAAATTTAACATATTAATACAATTTATTGTTGGTACAAACAAAAGTAATAATTTACATTTTGTAAATTACCAAATCTAATGCTCTTTGATCGTATTAACGTCGTGAATATTATTATGTATATACACTTTTATTGTTTTAATTTATTTAATCTATTTAATCTAATTAATTATTTTGATTCTTTAACGTTAACCGTGTTCCAGGTATTGGTGACCAAACCGGATTTCTACAACGAGGAGACGAGGAGAAACTTGATCAGCACTCTCTCGGAACTGATCAGCCTCAACATCGTCCCCATCATCAATACCAATGACGCCGTAACTCCGCCCCCTCAGACTGACGAAGATTTCCCCAAAGGGAAAGAAGGGAAAAAGGTCCGCTTCTAAAACATATTATCTCCTACCGAAATCATCCGAAATTGTGCCAGAGAGTTTGGGTTTTATGTTATGATTTTATGACATAGGAAAAACGCGCGTTCTATTATACGGAGGATAGGTATTCACGATCTTTGTGTTAACCCTGTTTTCTCGGTTAGGTGTTGTAAGATCAAGAAAAATGATAACGTAGTCTTGTAAGAATCGGCTAGTTGGCCATGGCCAATGTTAGATGTTAGGTCGAAAATGTAGTCACATTGCTATCCGTTAGGGCGTAGCTAACCAACATGGCAGCCATCAATTTAACAGCTGTTTTTTGCTAACACGTATTTTTATTCTTACATACGCATTAATTAAATAGGACTAATGAATATCATTTATTAATTTCTGACCTGTCTTTATACTCTCTGTAAATCAGAAAAGCTGGGATTGCCGGTGGACCGCGAGAGGTGATAAGCTCAACTAAGGATATGTGTGTATGTATGAATATACATTTCCATATTGAGCGTATATAAATTCAAATCTTAAAAATTGTTAATATAAGGATTTTTGTTTGTTATTGGTTTAATTTACTCAATTTGCTACATGTTGCATTATTTCCCGCATTAATTTATTTTTATAACACGCTTTCCAATCCTCTCTAATTAGCCAATTCTCAAAACGTAGAATAGAGGTCTTGTACCATTGAAGAGAGAAAGCGGTTTATTTTAATATAAAAGAATGAGTCTTAAAGTCCTTCTTTCTTATTGTAAAATATAACAGATCAAAAATACATTTCTTATCAGGATCGAGTCTACCTGAAAGAAAAGTTCACGCTTCAAAGACGTGCGCTGAATTTTAAAACAAGTGTGCGATGATCGATTTAATCATGTATTATTTTACGCACAAAAGATTTTCTATTCAAATTTATCTAGATTGGTCACAGGTTGTTGTTGTTGGATAGTCAGTGTGATTTTTATTGCCGGAGTCGGGAAAAAATAAATGAGAAGGACAAACATGCCGATTGAGGAGGGTTTTTGCCTTTTCATTTGTAAATCATGGAATCAAGAGGGAAAAAGTTCAATGTGGTCGATTTGTCCTTTCCCACATAATTAATTCAAAGTGTTGAACCTAACTTTCGCTTGATGTATCCAGCCAGATAAAAGCTGCCGATAATTTAATACAGGACGGGGTGAGTCCGCCTAATCTGCTTTGCCTAATCATTACTCATGCTGTATCCTGTATAGTACGCGTGTAATGATCGTACCATATCGAAGTTCATTTTAGTTATTAATTTAATTTATTAACTACGCCCCCACAATCTGACAGCTACAATCGATAAAATTAATATTTTCACGTACTTACTTTAAAATATCGCGGTATTATCCATCGAAGTCTTTCGAGTTTTCGAGTGTTTCGATTTAAGTGTTATGAAGCAATATTTAAAGGAATAAATGACACAAAACTGTCCTTAATAGGTTTGTATACAAAGAGATAGGTCTACCAGATCCTAAAGTGTCACACTGTTCTTTCGATTATAACAATAGGGGTAGTCACGATTTTTGGTTAACCCTGTTAAGTCTGTTAGGTCGTCTTAGATCGAGAAAAATGATGACGTAGACTTGTTAGAATCGGCTAGTTAACATCGCTCGATTTAATAGGCCAGAGCCAATGTTAGGTGTAGGTCGAAAATGTAGTCACTTTGCTATCCGTTAGGGCGTAGGTAACCAACATGGCAGCCATGAATTTAACAGCTGTTTTTCGTTGACACGTATTTTTATTTTTAAATACGCCTTAATTAAATCAGACCAATACATTTATTTTGTTAATTTCTGACCTGCCCTTATACTCTCATTCATAATAGATACATCCCCCATCCTATAAAGTTGTAGGCTGTTAGACTTTAGGATACAAGTTAGGTATGTCGGCACGTATTAAAGCGTGTCATTTGTTAGTACTTTTCGAGTGCATAAATAACATTTTGAATGAAAGAATTTTCCTTTTTATTAACTTCTGCATCTTACAATTTAGCACAAAAGATAACCAAAACAAACAACAAGCCTTCAAGGAATGTTATGCTTTATTTTTGGTTCTACCAATCGCCACGGGCAGCATTGCGGAAAAATTAATGTTTAACATGCTAAGAAAAGAAGGGGGCGTTCACGATCTTACTGGACATGTCTCTATTCGAGTTAACACGAGTTAACATTTTACAAACATCTTGAATGCCCCTAATATTTTTTTACTTATGTTTTGTGTTAAATATGTGGCCAGAAGATATTTATTGGCGTGAATGTGTAGTTTGATAGGGTCAATAGCAGATATTAAATCATATCTGCCATCATTTAGCTCGCCCTATATGAGTGAACGGTAATGTATCTCTTCTTTTCACTTCATCACCTTCAAACCTCATTCGCATGAATCCTAGAAGACCGTCCTAATCCTGGCTGTAGAAAAATGGGCTCTCCCTCAATACCAGTCCCAGGCTGTTGTGTTCGGATTCATTCCCCTTCTCCAATCCTTACGTCCTATTCCTTCAATCCTTTTTTATCATGTGTTAAAAACTGAGGAATCTACATTGATCAAATCCTATCATCCCTTGTCATCCTCCGCCAATTCTGTCAAAGCTGTCCCAGGCTTCTTCCTTGAGCTCCCCCATTTCGATTATGGCTGTTTGGTTTACAGTAGACTCACCAACGAGCTTGTTATCAGACTCAAGAGAATCATAAACTGCTTGTTTCGGTTCATATTTTGCTCCCCGATGAGATCTCGTATATCTAATATATATCGTGATTTGAAATGTCCGTTTCCCTCCTAACAAAGGCTCTACTTTCTTGGCTCCTTCCTTTATCACACAATTTCTTCCTATTCCCCTTCCTATATATGTAATCTGTTGACATTCCTCTTCTATACACAGTCGCTCTACTCGTTCTCGCTCTTCTGATCTCAACCACACTCATACATATGCACAGCTTTTAGTCTAACTTTCCTTACCCGTTCCTGCAATCTCTGGAATTCCTTACCTCACTCCGTTCGTTGTATCTCAACCCTTTCCACCTCAAATTTCGGTCTTTTTGACTACCTCCTGTCTTTACTATTTAGCATCGAGGCTGATTAATTTTATTCTTTTTAGTTAATTTAGTACGTTTTATATCTTGTCTTTTTTTGCGATTACATTTCATTCTTTTTTTATACATTCTTTTTTGACACGAATTGTGCATAATTTTGTAATTTTTTGTTTAGAGATCAAAACCCTAGAATAAAATGTATTTTCTTTCTTCTTTCTTTACTGTATGGGAACGAATTTGTCATATTCAAAAATGAGCGGGAATGAGGATGTATGTGTAGGTAGAGAAAGAGATCTCGGCATACATATATATGTACATAACATGGAATGTTATTCTGATATCGTGAGATGCGGTCGGGTGTGATGTAGGTTTCAGAAAAACATTTTCTTTATCGTGCCGACGTTTCGATCTTTTATTGAGATCATCTTCAGGGCTCAAAGTGTTTGTCTTCTGTGTAATAGTGCCATCCTTGCGTGTCGTGTTGAGAGTGCCAACTCTGAATAACTATCGATTAACGGTCACTAATCTCTACACATAACATGGAATTTTAACTTCAATGGCAGGACGGACAAGACCGGTCGTATAACTCCAGAGTCAACAGCACTATAGTAGGCTGATTGAGAAGACTACGATTACATCTCTACTATTATGAAATTTTTTTGATAAATGTCGCTGAGTTATCTGGAGCTTTCTTTTTCTTTACAGATCATCGCTTTGAAAGACAACGACAGTCTTGCGGCTATGCTGGCGGCAGAAGTGGAAGCGGATTTACTCATACTCATGTCAGACGTGGATGGAATCTACACGAAACCGCCATCGCAGGAAGGTGCCCGCCTTATCCACACCTTCACACCGGAAATGATGAAATCTGTCACTTTTGGGAAAAAGTCAAAAGTGGGCACCGGCGGCATGGATTCTAAAGTGAGTACTTTCATAACAACGCCATAAGCAATTTGGCTTTGTCGACGTCTTCGCCCGGTCGACAAAGCAGAAATCTTCCTTTCAAACTGAAATATTAGTATTGTTTATAACAGATTGAAAACTTAGTCGGTAATTGAAACGCTTTGTTTTAACGCGGGTGGCGGACGTGGAGGGCAATTTCTTTTAGAAATTTAAGATATAATATTCACGTGCCTAAAACACTGCGCCCTTTGAGGGCTATAGATGCCCCCGTTCGGTTCCTATATTACACCAGTAAGTCCTTGTTTATCTAACCATAAGGAGGCTCGGTTTCCTGGTTGAAATTCTTGTACTATTGTACAACAAAAACACTTCATCCTGGTGGCAAATGTTCGTAGGTGTTTTTGTGTCTCCTCTGCTTTTTTGCAATATGTGCACCACCGTTTTGTATTATACCGATATCGACATCCAGATGCCCATTAAGTCTCCAATGTTCTGTCAGGGTTCGACATTTTTCCCTACTTTCTTTGATGCATTCTGTTTTTTATTTCCTTCCAACGTTATTGGATTGTCCAATGAGTAAATTCAAAAGTTTTCTCATTTTCGATTAGCCTTTGTTGTCCGCTCTCTCGTTGCCCACTGCTGCCACATGTCTGGTTCCCAGCGGAGGATGACCTTAATTGCATACCTAATCTGTTTTGTTTAGTTTTGCAATTCAGCACCATCTTCGAGCTAACGACGTTTGAACTTAGTACTTTCATAATTGCTTGGTCATCTTAGCTTAGGTATCTCTTGTTTTTTACTCTTTGCTCATGATGGGTACATCTCTCAATGGCATGAACTTCGGCCTGGAAAAGAGACGTGTATTTTCACTTGGTTTTTAAGTATTTCTTTCCAAGACCGAACATTCCTGTCTCCTTACTTCCTTGGCTATCTGACATACAAGCTATACCTTCTTTTGGTACCCTTTGCTCAAGATGAGTACATCTCTCAATGGCATGAACTTCGGCATGGAAAATAGCCATATATTTTCTCTTGGTTTCTAAGTATTTGTTTCCAAGTCCGAACAGTCCTGTCTCCGTATTTTCTTGCGTTCTACATTCGTCCTGGGCCAGTAGATGGTGCCATTCTCAACGGTTTTCATTCTTTCCCACTTTTTTGCACTTAAATTTTTTTGGAAATTTTTGTATAAACACCCTGTCATCTCTTGGGGTCATGAGTTTTGGATGTCCCTTCATTAGTCTATTGCTTACTCTAAATTTCAGCCCGGTGCTGCTCAGATAGCATAGAGTAATTATATAATTAAGCATAAGCTTATAAAAGTAATTAAAAGATGTTACCAATTGTTTTCTGTGAAGCTCTCATAATCATTTGGTGGAAGTGGATTAACCCCAATATTTTCTCCATTCAAACTGTGGGACAAGTTCCCAGCCCTCCAGAGATGCAAACGCAACGAGCCTATGTATTTTCGTGATTTTACTCCGTTTTGTTATATGCTTTACTTTATCAGGTTATTGTTCCATATGTGCGGATAGGTCTTACCAACATGGTGTGAATCCCGAGCAGGGATTCTGATCTCCATTTCTAGTTTTTTCGTACTGTCCTTCTGCACACCATTTTCTTACACAATTAGGCTTAAGTTTTGACTTTGTAATTGGCCTTGTTCAATATCCAGTTCGGTGTAAAAACTCTTATTCCAAATCAACCCTAAATATCTCGTACTATTGTTAATTATGTCACCAGATAAAACTCATCGCGTGTACGTACCTAATAGCTGCGTAAATGAACGAGAGACGATATTGGATCGTTTATACTTCATACAAGTGGTTGAAATGAGTCGTAGATCTTGCGGCGTCAGGGTTTAAAAAATGCGTGATGAATCAATCGAACATAGGCCACGGCAAACAATAAAAGCACGTTAAAGCACCTGTCATCGGGTATTCAATAGATTCGATGAAAGGGTCCAGGGATTCGGAATAATCGAAGTCGTTAGTATGTAAATCTGCAGAAACCGTCGAAATCGGGAAAGGACGAGACCCGCGAATGAAGAAATCGCCTCGACTGTCGACTTTGGTGTTTCATCGACGATACGGAGCTCAATGGTTAATTGCGCTGGAAATCAGGCTGTCTATGTGGGAAAATTAAGCCTAGCTCTCGAGCAAAGTTTCGTCATTTACATTTGTCCAATTACGCGATGCGACTCGATAGAGTTGGCGAACATCTCCCTATTACATTAACTGGGATTTTACGATCAGTTTGAGACAGTTTTAACGTTTGCAACGATAAGTCCTGTTAATACGAAGACGTCGACGACGTTAAGGACTCGGCCGACAGCAACGCTTACAAACTTCTTATCGGCAATAATAAACATCATCGATATGTTGGAATGGTTTTCGACATTGTTGTACCATGGCTCATCAAATTTTGCTCTCGGCCGTTTGCCTATCTCACATCCCTTGCGGAAACCATAATTCCTCATGCAACCCCACAACCGCTCTCTTCGCCATTAAACATAACCGGGAGGATTTCAAACGAGCTAATTTTTATTTATTTTAATTAATAAGCGAAAGGTGGCAATCGAATTATCGGCCTATTCGAAAAATCCAATTGTTCACTCTCAACAGAAGAAAACCTATTGAGACAATTAGTTATTTAAATTCGGCCACGATCTTCCTGCATAATTAATTTCGAAGTAAATTTGTTTCCGTTACAATAACAGAGGATGGAGTAACCCCTCGGAAACTTTAAACTCGGTGTTCAACCATATAATTTCCGGTTGTGAATATTCATTTCCGTAAAATTATTTTCCCTTGTTCCCCATCCTGTAAGTTAAAGCTAAATTTTTGGACGTATCTTATGCGTTTGTCGTCTTCCATCAACAAGAAACACTGGCCTAGGTATATCAAATAGAAGAAGTAGACCGGAGATCTACATATTTACATATAAATTAAACGTGAGAATTTAAATTAACTCGGTTTCATAGGAACGGCTTAGTATTCAAAGCACCCTAGTAAGTTTGAAACTCGATTTCTTCAACGCCCAATTGTCGCAAAGGTGGTTTATATCCAAACATTCTTCGAGATCTGAAAACAAAAACCAATTTTGAAATAAGATTTATATTTAGATTAAGAATCCGTGATATCAATAAAAGTCTTAGAGTTACTTTTATGAACGTAATTTCCTTCTGAAATATTTTAAAATCCTACTTTGTCCAATATTATTTATAGTTATCTGAAAATAATTTTTTTAAACTTCTTTTTAAAATAATTGTTCAGGTGAATGCTTTGCCTGTTTCTTCTAATTGAAAAAGTCGGGATTAAATAAACAATATAACCTGATTTGTATGTATTTTCATATATTAATCTTAATTTTTTTAACGTTTAATAATTGAGTCTTTGTCTAAACAAGTCAAAAAATGTAAACTGCTAAGAAAAAGGAAAAATGAAAAGAAAGACGGACAGATAAACTTTGTTTTAATTTGGTTTTAGATTTTTAATTAACATTTCAATATTACGTTACCTTCTCTTGCCTTAATTACATTTCGAAGATGCTTCGGTATACTTTCTGGCAGTCTTGAAATGCCTCTTTCCTGGAGGTTAGCCTATTCTTCACGAAGAGTACTATCAACATCGTGAAGTGTATCAGGAAGTGATGGACGTGCTCTGATTCGTCTTTTGAAGTTATCCCATAAATGTTCGATGGGGTTCAAGTCTGGAGAACGGGCTAGCCAGGCTAAGACTCTGATGTTATGCTGTTGAAGGTACGTTTGTAGTATTTGAGTGACATGCGGTCATTATCGTGATTAGAATATGATTGTCGTAGATTTCATCTAAGATAGGCAACTCATGGTGTTCCAAAATTTTTGGCGAGTGGCTGTCAAAGATCCTCCGCGAACAGCAAACTTCTTTGTGCGATTCTCCATTCAAATTCCTGCCCACACCATCACAAAGCTATGTTGAAAAGATTGGCTCTGGGAAAAAAGTCTTCGTGGGTTTCTTTTCACCTTCTTTACACTCTTTCACGCCCATCTGGAGATCGTAGAGCAAATCAACACTCATCTGTAAAAAGTACAGCAGACCAATCGTCCAAACACCAATGGCTGTGTTCTCGAGCAGTTGCGAGCTGTGCAACTCTGTGTGTTCTGGTCAATCCTGGTACACTTACGGGGCGAAAAGCCATCGGTCCATACTGATTTAATCTTCTTCGAGATGAAATTTGGACACCTCGAACTTCCTGGACCTGATGAATCGCTTCAACAACATTAAGCTGCCGGTTTCGCAAAATTCTCAAAAGACGGCCATCTCGTGGTTCTATTAGCCTAGGGCTTCCAGAACCGGGCCTTCTATGGTAGGACCTAGTTTCTCGAAAAAGTCCAACGGCGCCTCGCAGAGTTTCGTAGGGAACTCTGATGGCAGGAGCCATAATTAACACACCACGCGCAACATCCTCAGCACAAAGTAGCATTTTTAAGTTTAAAAATTAAATTAATTAAGGTATTTTGTTGAGATAAAAAAGTCAGTGTCACGAGCGGGATTAGTGTCCCAGAGGATCGAACGATAGCTCAAGTGGTAGAGCAGGTGCGTATCTAGCCGAAGATCGTGGGTTCGAATCCCGCTCATGACACTGATTTTTTTATGTCAAATAAAAACCTTAATTAATTGAAAGATATTAATTGGTCAAGCGGACCGCAAAAACTAGAGAATTTAATAAATTAAAATGAAGTATAACTTCACTAAAGCTCTCCGTGGCCATTTCATTTGTCGCCGAGAATCAAATAGATTACACGATATTTGAAAAATGGCAAAAAGGTGGGGTTGAGATGGGAAGTTAGTGTCCGAGTGGATCGAAGTCCTGATAGCTCAAGTGGTAGAGTAGCGGCGTATCTAGCCGAAGGTAATGGCTTCGAATCCCGCTCGTGACACTGACTTTTTTACCTAAAATAAAAACCTTAATTAGTTGAAAGATATTAATTTGTCAAGCGGACCACGAAAAGTAGTGAATATAAAATTGAAATTAAGAAA